GCCGTCTTTCAAAGGATTTCATGATGTCAGGGCGACAGGCCTGTAGTCATTTAATCCTGTGATGGAGGGCTTCTTGGGGACTGGGATGATGGTGGAGCGTTTGAAGTAGGAGGGTACTTCACACAGCTCCAGCGATCGGTTGAAGACCCCAGCTGGTCAGCGCAGACTCTCAGGCAGGAGTTAGACACACCATCAGATCCTGGAGCCTTCCTGGTTTTCTGTCTCTGGAAGAGCCGACACACATCTTCTTCACAGACCTTTAGTGCAGGTGGGGGGTTAGAGGAGAGGGGGGAGGGTGGAGCTGGGGGTACAGGTAATCCCTTTGTGTGGTTGAGAGGTGTGAAAACGGCCTTTTCAAACCTGCAGTAGAAGCAGTTCAGGTCGTCTGCTCGTTGGAGGTTTTCCACCGGGTGAAGGGGGTGGTCTCCTGTAGTTGGTAATGTCCTGCAGACCTCTCCAAACTGGGTCATTGACTGAGAAGCTATTTTTTTAGCTTCTCATTGTAGTAGGCTGACCAAACGTCCTCTTTTGCCCGGACATGTCCACTTTTCATGTCCCGTCCGGGGCGTCTGGGGGTTTTTTATAAACTGATGATAATGTCCGGTTTTCCGTGTGTTTGTGTGTGTGTTTGTTAGAGTGCGGCACAGGCATTATATTTCTGTCCTTCCCAAACCGAGCCCGACATTATTTAATGACCAAAGCACTGAGTTTGTGTCACACAGTTGTCATGGTTACAGGCTATTTAACAGGCCGGGCGTGCGCCGTGGGTGCTCAGCTGCGGAGAGGTAGACCTCCGTGTTTGAGACGGGAGCGGGAGGTGGGAGGTCCGACGCTTCTAGCAAGAGGAGAGGGAGAAATCAAACAAAATAAGATAAAATAGGAAAAACCTGTCTCCCTCTTTTATTGTCAGCGTTTAATCAAGACGGAGGCGGGCTGCTGGAGGTCCGAGACTTCCAGCAAGGGCAGAAACAAACAGCCAATGTGTGTCTGTGTGTGTTATGTTCAGGTGTTGTCACGTAAATAACAGTGCCCAAGCAATAAACAGGACAGACAATAGGATTTTATTTATTTTTACACTATATTTTCACTGAAAGCTGACCGAATCCGACCCGAGCCCGAATACAATTTATAGCTACATTTTTGACCAAACCCGGCCCGACCCGCCGGGTACCGTCGGGCTGGGATCGCCACACTCTAGTGTGTGTATGTGTCCCCTATTGGGGCCTATCTGAATTTCTGTCTTTGAGAGATATTATTTTGTAATATAACTGAATTTTCTAAACATTCATTCATTCAACTTCTAACCGCTTCATCCTCTTGAGGGTCACAGGAGGGGCTGGAGCCTATCCCAGCTGACATCGGGCGAGAGGCAGGGTTCACCCTGGACAGATCGCCAGACTATCCCAGGGTTGACACATAGAGACAGACAACCATTCACACTCACATTCACACCTACGGACAATTTAGAGTTATCAATTAACCTAGTCCCCAATCTGCATGTCTTTGGACTGTGGGAGGAAGCCGGAGTGCCTGGAGAGAGTGCCCTTACTCCTGTAGGCCTCCTTGGCCTGGTGCAGCCGCCTGAGTTTGGGTGTGAACCAGGGTTTGTTGTTGTATATACAGAAGGTCTTGGTCTGCACACACATATCCTCACAAAAACTGATGTAAGATGTCACAGTGTCAGTCAGTTTGTTTAGGTCTGTGGCTGCAGCTTAAAAAAAAAAACTCAGTGCAGTCAAAGCAGGCCTGTAGCTCCAGCTTTGACTCCTCAGTCCACTTCCTTAACTTCCCACCAGCTTACAAGTTTTTAATTTCTGCCTGTAGATCGGGATGAGATGGAGCAGACAGTGATCAGAGAGCCCCAAAGCTGCATGGGGGACAGAGCGATAAGCGTCCTTTCAAACTGTGTAGCAGTGGTCCAGTGTGTTAGAGTCCCTGGTGGGGCATTTTATGTGCTATTGTATCTGGGAAGTTTTGTGAGAGAGGTTTGCTTTGTTAAAATCCCCTAGGATGATGGGCAGGGAGTCTGGATGTTTTTTCTCCACGTCTGTCACCTGGACAGCCAGGTGTTGTAACACCTCCGTTACACATGCCTGAGGTGGAATGTAAACACCGCCCGGAACAAACGAGGAAAAAGGAGGAATAAAACGGTTAATGATGAGTCTCTAAGTGAGGGCTGCATGACTTCTTCAACACTGTGACATCTATACACCAACCTTCATTTATGTAGAGGCACATTCCGAAATGTTGTGAATTAGATATGTGTAAAATAAAGACAGATATGACCCTGTCATGTTTTATATATGAAGAGCGCACGTGAACACAGGAACAAACATGTTTTTGACTGGTGTGCACACATGAAGAACACGAGTTAGGAAACTAAATACAAACAGAACTCAATTCTGACATCATGACATCATGTGATAAGATAAGATAAGATAAGATAAGATAAGATAAGATAAGATACACCTTTATTGATCCCACAATTGAGAAATTCCAATGTTACAGCAATCAAGGGGAAAGAGTCAAATTAAAGATTTCAATATTTAAAAACATAAAAAACTAGGCATGCAGAAAAAAGTACAAAAGATACAAGAAACAGCAATAAATAATAACAACAATAATAATAATAATGAGCAGTGGATGAAAATGATATATGAAAAATGCAGGTGAAAATGAAAAGTGAAAAATGAATAATGATGTGAACAGACAAATCAAGTGTACTCTGTACTGTGTTTTATAATGTGTTTGTTTTATGGCTTTAATTCTTTTTATCACTGTGTGTTATATGTGTTGTATGTCCACAGCTGCCCCTGACCAAATTGGGGCCCTAAGCGAAATTTTTTTTGGAGCCCCCCAAATTCACCAACAGATGACACCATTTACCTCCATAAAACTAGTCAAATATTATATTTGAAGTATAATATTATTATATTAACAACATATATTGATAGGCTATAAACTTTAGCCAATATATTGGCTAAAGTTTATAGCCTATCAATATATACGACCACCAACTGGTCATTTTACCACTGCTTTTCATCAGAGGTGAATGCATAGGGTGTTAACAAGACAGTCAATAAATGTTAATCAGGGCCGCTGGGGAAAAAAAATTCTCCAGTCTAGACAGAGACTAGAGACAGAGTCCTATCTAATGAGTAGCAGCTTAGGTGTTTGTGCCACAAAGTTTTCTTTCAACAACATACCCACCTTCAAGTGAAGCACGAGCTTCCTCTTGTTTTGCCTTTTTTTTCCTCTTGCTCGCTCCTGACTCGTGATGTCTTTTGGACAACATGTCGACAACTCTTCACCTACTGCAGCTCTGCAAGTGCCTGCCGGTGCACCCCTCTGATTGGTCAGATGTTGAGTGCTGTCAATCATTGCAGCGACGCATGCACGGTCAGATTACAGGTCTCTTTTCTCCTTCCTCGAGCTGATTCTATGCGCGCCTCACGGTAGTGCATATGCGCATCCATTGTGCATATATGCAAATGCGTCCCCTCGCACAAAATGTGGCCCCCCCATGGAAGATGAGGCCTACGCACAGCGTGTGTTCTGCGTTTAGGGAGGGGCGGCCCTGTGTATGTCATTGTAAAGCGCTGAGTCACTGTTAAAGTGTCAACAAATAAGGTGTATTAATATTTTTGTCCTGTGTTCATTGGCTCTCAGTTACAATCAGGGAATTCCTTCTCACGTGCAATCAATCAGTTGATGGGTGGGTATAAAACGCAGCAATGACGGTATGTCAAGACGCACGATGGCTTATTTGGCACTGTTAGAGGATGTGGTGGATGGGAGACTCTGGAGAGAGCGGATATTCAGGAACCAGCAAGACCTACTGGCCAGCGATGATGAGTGGCTTATGAGCCGGTTTCGACTGCTGCGTGTGGTGCTGCTGGATCTCTGCGCTGTGTTGGGCCCAGCGTTACAAAGAAGCACTCACAGGAACCAAGCTGTGCCGGTCCCCCTTCAAGTGCTGACAACACGACAACACAAGGTTTCTGACCACCACCACCTTTCAGAGGGAACTGGCTGACAGGTCAGGGGTATCACTGCCAACCTTTAGCCGTGTTATGCCAGATGTGTTAGAAGGTATCACTGGTTTGTCACAGCGGTGCATAAAGTTTCCTCACACGGTGAACAGGCAAAAAAAAAAAAAAAAAGGCGCAGTGTAATCGGTGCTATTGTCTGCACTCATGTTTCAGGGCGCCCTATGATAATGAATTTCGCAAACATTTTCATTCTCTAAATGTTCCGATACTATGTGATGCGTGATGTGTCATCACATGATTCCTTCATACTGAGACACAGCAGTGTGGGGCGCCTACTGGACACTGGAGCTGTGCATGATGTCTGGCTTCTCAGGGATAATTAGACTGTTATTTATTCAGAATTTCATTATCATGTTTCTCTACTGCAGGGTCTAATCCATCTACTAATACTGCAGGTCATAGTGGGTATCCTCTCAAACCCTTTCCCCAACCCACAGAGTGGCATGCCATGGCCAGGAGAAGCTGTCCTCGAGCCCTATCCCCAGGCATTTAAGCCAAATGCTGCTGCTGTGCGCCAGCATCTAGATGTCATGCGTCGCTTAACACAAGAAGTATGTTAAGAAAATCAGATTGTCAAACAGGGCTATGGCACAGGAAGTAAAAAGGAGGTGAAGATCCACACGGTATTGTCCATTTAGTGATTTATTTCAGATGGAGAAACTGTCTGATGAGCAGTCAGCTCCAAAGGTAGCTCAGTTTTCTGTCTAAATTCATCACTGCAGATGGGAGTTGCACTTTCTCGTGTGCCCGTTCTGCCACTGTTTGGACTAAAGAATAATGAATCCTTGGGTGCATGGTGTTTTGTCTGAGTGAATTTGGTAAATGATAAAAATAAATGTGTGAAAAGGAAATGAATCATACAAATATAAGGAAAACTGATCTACTGGGCAAAGTTTGCTACTGCAGGAAGTCATTTAGATGAAAACCATAAAGAAACACAGAGAAAAATTAAACAAACATAATTTATTGACCAACAGTTTCAGTGTACACTTTATGTCAGACAATACTGCCTTTATCTCCCGTAACTCCCTGACAACCTGGTTAACTGACTGTATGGTTTCTCTGTGGATCTGCAAGACCGAGACTGTGACGACACATCTGCTGCTGCTGGATGGCTGAGGCGCACGAGGTACATGGGAGACGCTGGGAGCACTCTGCTGGGCTGCATCACCAACCTCACTGGAACACCCAGGGACTACAAGAGAAAAGGATTTTGGATAAAGTTAGTTGTTTTGGATCACGTCTACATTGTGTTTGTACATGAGTGTTTTAACACAGCTTCAGTGCACGTGCTTTACTCAGCCACATCTGTGTCCCCCTCCGCCTCTGTGACCGCTCAGGAGGGATTCACCGATGATCCCGGCCAGTTTCTCATCAAGGGGTGTGAACTCTGGTGTCCCCTTTCCCCTATCGGTGGTGCACACACTCTGCCTGTGTGAGGCGGTGCGCTTTTTGGCCTCCACCTTCATATCGGACCACTGCTTCTTCTTGACTTGTGACAAAGTCTGAGGCAGCAGCATTTACAGCATCTGCCACCAGCTGCAGTTTGAGCCTCAGTCACGCCCATTTATAGGCACCTGTGGGCGGGGCCAGACGCTCGCTCACCTGTGCCATATTTTGAGTTGATTGTGATTTATAAAGGGCAACATGTGTGGGACATGTGTGGGACATGTGTGCGCACTGTGTTATGAATCAGGATATTTTTGTATGTAAACACTTTCTGTGCTTTGTCAGGTGATCAGGTTACCAGGTGACTGAAGGTGTGGTTATGAATCTAAGGTTAGGTGGCTATACTCAGTCGGAGCTGTGGTCATTGTGGTGGCGTCCGCCAGTGTCGTAGCATCCGTACGGTGGTGGAGGTGTTCTGGGTCAGCAGGTGAGTAACCTGGTCCAGATTGAGGCAGGCCACCTTTTCTCCGTTCACCTCCAGGATCTCATCTCCCACCGCCAGCAAGCCGGCGTACAACTTCTCAGTACTGCTGTCCACCATGTCGTCCACGTACACACCTGCAGTACACACAGTACTTTGAACACAGTACTACATTGCAGCATTAATACTCTGTTAATGCAGTCGTCCTCTGATGATTGGTAGTATTGGTATTTACAGTAGTACTGTAGTATTAGTACCAGAGTCAGGACGTCCTCTTCCTCTGCTGATGATGAATCCGAACGTTCGGCTCTTCGGTCGACTGATTTCCAACAGAAACGTTCCATCAGAATAAACCTGAAGAACTCGTCCGACAGAACGGACAGAAGAGGGACGTCCAACGTCCTCTATACTGAGACAACGCTGCAGGAACCTGAGAGAAAGACAGTGAGGACAGAATGAATAAGTGACAGGAAGACAGACAGTGAGGACAGAATGAATATGTGACAGGAGGACAGACAGTGAGGACAGAATGAATATGTGACAGGAGGACAGACAGTGAGGACAGAATGAAGAACAGACAGGACAGACAGGAGGACAGAATGAAGAACAGACAGTGTTAGGGTTAGGACTCGTTAGGATTTTAACGATTCTGATTCCTTACCGATTCCTTCTTAACGGCCCGATTACTTACCGATTCCTCTTACCAATTCCTACATTATATTCATTATACTTGCTATACTTAAACAAGTATATAATAAACACAAATGCAATCATACAAATACAAAAACTTTATTCTAACTGTTGCACAGTACAATTAGATGAAAATACACATTTGTGTGTGGTGTGTATTTCAGATTTAGAGCTTGTATCATCTCCCTGAGAATATATAACAACAAAAAGTGATTCTCTGATTTCTACAGTAACACTATTAAAATTAACCACAACAATGTAATAAAAAATACTGGGCACTGTTATTTACGTGACAACACCTGAACAGAACACACACACACACACATTGGCTGTTTGTTTCTACCGCTCGCCTCGCTGGAAGCGTCGGACCTCCAGCCGCCTGCTCCCGCCGCCCGCTCCCACCGCCCGCTCCCGCCTTGATTAAACGCTGAAAATTAAATAAAAGAGGGAGACAGGTGTCTCCTATTTTATCTTATTTTGTTATATTTCTCCCTCTCCCCTCACTGGAAGCATCGGACCTCCCGCCACCCGCTCCCGTCTCAAACATGGAGGTCTCCCTCTCTGCTGAGCACCCACGGTGCACGCCCGGCCTGTTAAATAGTCTGTAACCATGACAATTGTGTGACACAAACTCAGTGCTTTAGTCATTAAATAATGTCGGGCTCGGGACGTTTTTTTTTTTTTTACAATCTAGGAGCCGTTTGCAGGAACTGTTACTCCAAATGTGATGGAACCGGATCCGGATCCCAACCCTAGACAGTGAGGACAGAAGAGGGACGTCCAACGTCCTCTATACTGAAACAACGCTGCAGGAACCTGAGAGAAAGACAGTGAGGACAGAATGAATAAGTGACAGGAGGACAGACAGTGAGGACAGAATGAAGAACAGACAGGACAGACAGGAGGACAGACAGTGAGGACAGAATGAAGAACAGGCAGGACAGACAGGAGGACAGACAGTGAGGACAGACAGGAGGACAGATCATGATGTGTTACTGTTCAGCAGATGGTCTATAGTCAGCTGATCGATCCGTCTTCTTCTTCTGCTCCGAAACAAAATTCTGAACTGATGACGACTTCCTGAACTGAAGGAAGGGCGACCCCTGGTGGACAGACAGGAGAAACACAGGTCAGAGAGGAAGGAGAAGGAGGAGGAGGAGGAGGAGAAGGTGAAGAGGAAGAAGAGGACAGAGAAGGAGGAGAGAATGAAGAAGGAGGAGGAGGAGCTCACCACACTGAGTGACTGAACAGACGGTGTTTTCTTCAGAAGGCTGGAGGACATCCTGGGACCTAAGGGTGCGGGGTCAGAGACAGAGGGGCGGGGCCTTGAGTTGAGGCGGTCCAGGCTGGCGGTTCGAGTCCTGCTCAGTGAGACGTTGGACAAAAGACGACGTAGAGACAGACGGGAGGGCTGGTCTCTGCTGAGTACACTGAAGGACACAGAGAATATTTCTGATCCGATCAATATGTCTGGTATCAGTCAGGTGATCCATCCATCAGCTGATGACCTCAGGTGACCTCACATACCAGTGACCCATCTCCACCCCCTCCACGCACACACATACACACACACACACAGATGCTGACTGACGATGCAACATTGGCTGACACCAGAGACACCAGAGACAGACGTCCGACTGATGTCCAACATTCAGTCAATGTCTGTCCTTCATGTGGATGACACGTGATGAAGGACAGGAAGATGATGGTGAGAATGCAGTGTTGTGTTTCTGTCTCATGGACAGGAGTGATTATTACACCCTGTAATGGACTCAGGTTCCCATAATATTCCATCAATCTGCCAGGGACTGCAGATGAAAATTAGCCTGTATGGCTAAATCTGGCACATTTACGTGACTTAAGTGATCATGTTAATTAATGTGCACTGTCCCTTCTTAAATAAAATAAACATAAACGTAAACATAAACATAATGCAACAGGAAAAGTAGTGAATAAGTGATGGTCACTCACCAAGCAACATATCCCATCATGCATTTGCCAAAGGAACAGAAAGACTGTATGGGACAGACACAGAGACAGACAGCAGCTGGGGAACAACCTGCTGGTCACCTGAGATCATCTGAGGTCACCTGAGATCACCTGAGGTCACCTGAGGTCAACTGAGATCACCTGAGGTCACCTGATATCACCTGAGATCACCTGAGTTCACCTGAGATCACCTGAGGTTACCTGAGATCACCTGGGGTTACCTGAGATCACCTGAGATCATCTGAGGTCACCTGGGGTTACCTGAGATCACCTGAGGTCACCTGATATCACCTGAGGTTACCTGATATCACCTGAGGTCACCTGAGTTCACCTAAGATCACCTGAGGTCACCTGATATCACCTGAGGTTACCTGAGATTACCTGAGGTTACCTGAGATCACCTGAGGTTACCTGAGATCACCTGAGGTCACCTGGGGTTACCTGACATCACCTGAGGTCAACTGAGTTTACCTGAGATAACCTGAGGTCAAGTGAGTTTACCTGATATCACCTGAGATCACCTGCGGTTACCTGAGATCAACTGAGGTCACCTTATATCACCTTATATCACCTGAGGTCACCAGGGGTCAACTGAGTTTACCTGAGGTCACCTGAGATCACCTGAGGTCACCTGGGGTTACCTGAGATCACCTGAGGTTACCTGAAGTCACCTGAGATCACCTGAGGTCACCTGAGATCACCTGAGGTCAACTGAGTTTACCTGAGGTCACCTGAGGTCACATTATATCACCTTATATCACCTGAGGTCACCTGATATCACCTGAGGTCACCTGGGGTTACCTGAGATCACCTGAGGTTATCTGAAGTCACCTGAGATCACCTGCGGTCACTTCAGATCACCTTATATCACCTTATATCACCTGAGGTCACCTGATATCATCTGAGATTACCTGAGATCACCTGAGGTCACCTGATATCATCTGAGGTCAGTTTAAATAAATCTGATCTAACAGTGACTGTACAGAGGAGGCTAATGATGCTAAGCTAATGATGCTAAGCCAACGTTGTTCTAACATGGGCTGCTGACAGCTCTGATCCGTGACATAATGTCATGACATCATACATTAAACTCAGTTTATCACATGACTTTAACAGGAAATGACATCATCAGTAGGACAGTTTGATGTCTGCGGCTCTCTTTCTGTTTGTCTGTGTGTCTGTCTGTCTGTCTGTGTATCAATCAATTCAATCAATCAATCAATTTTATTTATAAAGCCCAATATCACAAATCACAATTTGCCTCACAGGGCAAGGACCCTAGGACCCTTAGGACCCTCACAGCTGATCAGGAAAAACTCCCCAAAAAAACCCTTTAACAGGGAAAAATGGAGACACTGTCTCTCTGTCTGTCCTCCTCTCTGTCCTTCTGTCTGTCTCCTGTCTTTGTGTCCTCCTGTCTGTCTGTCTGCCTGTCTCTCCTCCTGTCTGTCTTCAGCAGCAGCAGCGTCACATGAACATGCTCAGTATGACGTCATGTTTTCATCATACATATTCATGTCAGTATTTTGGACGTGTCACCAGCTGACAGTCATGTGACGTCATTAATGGCGCCGCGTGTCTGAAAGTGTTTGTTGCTGTTCCAGGTGAGTTCAGAGTCTAATGTTCTCCACAGAGACATGTCCCCACAGTGAGGACAGAGAAGACTTGTGAAACATCAACAGTCGCAGCCAAAGTACTGTTCCAAGTCCACATCCAGCCAAGTACAGGCCAAATGCCCAGATGTGAACTTGCTCTGCCCGTTCCATTGGGGATGCATCGGGAGGTGACTTGTGTGGACTTTTGACAGCCAGGTATCCCAGAATGCATTTCTCACAGGCCAGCAGCAATGGCAGCAGTCCTTGAGAGTTTGTAAGTAAGTAAGTAAAATGTATTTGTATAGCATTCTCACAGAGAGAACTCACAAAGTGCTTCACAGGATTAAAACACAACCAAGAATACATACATCCAAACATACAGAGACACAGAATGAAACAGCAGCAGCTGTTGCAAAACTAAATCATTTAAGACAAGCTGAAGAATGCCTGCCTATACAGGTAGGTTTTAAGGTGCTTCTTAACAATTTCGAAAGATGCTGTGGCTCTCAAGTTCTGTGTGTGTGGGGGGGGGGGGGTTCCACAATCTGGGCGCAATGGACTCAAAGGCCCAGTCACCTCTAATTCTGAGCCTAGTGCGAGGAACTGCCAACAGGCCGTGATTGGCAGACCTAAGTGTCCTACTAGGAGCGTATACATGCAGCAGGTCAGACAGATACTCAGGTGCCTGACCATGAAGGGCTCTTTATGTTAAAACAAGGATTTTGAACTGGATCCTAAAGCTGACAGGAAGCCAGTGTAGGGAGGCCAGGACAGGAGTAATGTGGCAGTTTTTGGGTGATTTGGTGAACAGCCTGGCAGCAGCATTCTGCACCAGCTGAAGACGATCTACAGAAGTGTTACTGAGACGCATGAAAAGAGAGTTGCAGTAATCCAGAAGTGATGACACAAAGGCATGAATGATCATTTCCAGTTCAGCATGTGATACAACAGATCTCAGTTTTGCAATGTTTTTAAGCTGGTAAAAGCATGTACCGGTCACTTCACTTCACTTCACTTCAACTTTATTATGTCCCAATATGGGCAAATTGGGTTGCCGCAGGCACAGGCATTATAAACAAATTGCAGAAAGTACATTTGCAAAAAGTACATTTGCATGAGAAACAAAACACACAGATAAATAAAAATAAAAACCTAAGAGCATACGTCAGTCAGACAAGTATTTTTGCATGGGGGTGGGGGTGGGGGACAGAGTTCATAAAGTGCAATTCAAAGTGCTATGTGCGATTTGCATACCAGTTAGAGAGAACCCATGGATCAGGCTAGGTCTCTCCGAGATCTAACGAGATCAGGCGTGATCAGTATCAGTATCAAATCACATCTGTCAATCCAAAATAGAAAGAAACCTAGGAGCATACGTCAGTCAGACAAGGTTTTTTTTTTTTTTTTTTTTTTTTTTCATGGGGGAGGGGGGATTGGGGTCAGAGTTCATAAAGTGCAATTCAAAGTGCTATGTGCGATTTGCATACCAGTTAAAGGGAACCTGTAGATTAGGCTAGGTCTCTCCGAGATCTAACGAGATCAGGCGTGATCAGTATCAGTATCAAATCACATCTGTCAATCAATTTCCCATTCTTTCAGACCAGAATGGATAATCCATTTACCACACAGGTAATTAACTATGAGAGATTTAGACAATATCTGTCCTTTGTAAATAAAGTCTGCATCAAGTCAGTTCCACATTTTGTCAGTCAGAGCCAACACTCCCACCCCACAGAGTAAATATACAATAATACACATACAATATATACAATCATACACACGATCCAAATCCAATTTGTTTGATTAAATTCACAGACACGCCTTTGCAGTTACCTCCTACAGGAGTCGTTTAAGGCTCTGATGGAGACTGGGATGAAGGAATTTTTATATCTGTTTTTTGTGGCAGTTGGAACTCGCAGCCGTTGGCCAGAAGGTAACAGGTTATATTCTGAGCTGAGAGGATGGTCACTATGGGACTGAATGGACACAGCTTTTTTAAGAACCTGCCTGGTAAAAATATGATTCAGACTGGTGAACTGCACTCCTACAATCTTACTTGCCACCTTAACAATCCTGTCAAGGGCATTTTTCTCTCTGGTCCCCAGATTGCCGTACCAACAAATAATAGAAAAGGATAGAACAGATTCAATAAAAGCAGAATAAAACAGCGACATCAGGGATTTATCAATTTGAAATCTGGCGAGTTTCCTTAAACAGAAAAGACGCTGCTGGCCTTTCTTGCACAGCGCTTCGGTATTACAGTTAAATTTCAGATTATTGTCAATCACAGTGCCTAGATATTTGTAGTTAGATACAATCTCCACAGCCTCACCCTTGACAACGCTGTTCCGGGGAGCAGGGGGGGATCGTCTAAAATCTATGCACATATCTTTTGTTTTTGTGACGTTAAGTTGTAGGAATGCATTTTCACACCACAAGATAAAATCATCAACAACAGGACCGTGGCTAGTTTCACTGTCATCAAGGAGGCTGACAATAACTGAATCGTCAGCAAATTTGATGATATATCTGTTTTTGTGGAAGCTGCGACAGTCATTTGTATATAGGATGTATAATAATGGAGATAAAACACATCCTTGGGGGGAGCCGGTAGAAGATATGCGGGCATTTGACAATTTCCCGTTCACCTTTACTCTCTGAGTCCTGTTGATGAGAAAATCAAGAAGCCAGCCGACAATACTTGGATCTAAACTGAAATTGTGAATCAGTTTCTCAACCAACATATGTGGCTGGATAGTATTGAAGGCTGATGAGAAATCAACAAAAAGCAGCCTAGCGTGGTTCCTGTTTCCCTCTAGATGTTTATATAAGAAGTTCATTAAAGT